TACCTCGCTCAACCAACCCTTTCAACCGCAACCTTCATCCCTCAACCAACAAATACAGCTAATGATGTCAAAAATGTATATCAATATATTGGGGGATTATTAAAACCAAAATAGTTGACCAATAAAATAATTTCTGCCTTCTCTTGGAGGTACGTGAGCTAATTGTACATAATTCTGATTGCAACTTTAAGACCCTGTTGGACAAAAATATTGACTCTTTGCCACCATTTTTTTACCATTCTGAGCGCTTTAAGGAAAATTTTCATTTTTGTTCATTTTCTTTCATTCCATGAACCTGGGTAATGTTATTTGACTTTTAAGATGGCTCTTAGACCTAGTTTTTACCTATATCCATCTTAAAAAACCAAATTGAGGCTTCCCAGCACTTAAATACAGCCAATACTTCGATGTGCCCATGTTCCAAAAATCTGGATTCTCAGGAGGATTATTGTGCCAAAATTGGAACATTTTGGACCATAGGTAACATCGGTTCTAGACATGCAGTGATTCCCAAACTTGGTTCGAGTGGTCGTAAGACTAATATAAACACTTTCCGACCAATTTTAAACCGTTCTGAGCATTTTTAGGACAATATTCATTTTTTTTTTCATTTTCGTTCATTCCATGAACCTGGGTAATGTTATTTGAGTTTTGATGGCTCTTAGGCCTAGTTTTTACCTATAATATCCATCTTAGAAAACCGAATTGAGGCTTCCCAGCACTTAAATACAGCCAATACTTCGATGTGCCCATGTTCCAAAAATCTGGATTCTCAGGAGGATTATTGTGACAAAATTGGAACATTTTGGAACATTGGTAACATCGGTTCTAGACATGCAGTGATTCCCAAACTTGGTTTGAGTGGTCCTAGGACTAATATAAACACTTTCCGACCAATTTTAAACCGTTCTGAGCATTTTTAGGACAATATTAATTTTTGTTCATTTTCGTTCATTCCATGAACCTGGGTAATGTTATGCTACTTTCGATTGCCCCTAGACCTAGCTTGCAACTATATATCCATCATTTACAATTATTTTTGGCACTATTTAGAGCTTATTAGGGCAAATAAATGCATGGCACACTTTTGGCACAATTTTGGCACATGTTCCAAAAATGTTCCAAAAATCTGGATTCATCAACTCCAATGGTGGTTTTTGAAAGTCGCGAGTAAATTTTACTTTTGAAAACTTTTTGTGAGGTGTTTGAAGCCATCTTAATGTCTAAAGAGATGAAACCTTGACTAGCACCTACCTGAAAGGATTTTATCGATCGGGTTTATCTCAGATTTTCGATATCTCACTTCCTTTTTCCGCAGGTGACCGAAACGTACACGTCATTCTCTCGTAAAGGCGAGTACACTCTCTACTGAAACAAGTGCTGTGCGACACATGATTATCCTAGGATGATGAGAGTTAGTTTCTGGGAAAGCCCTAACGATGCTTAAAACGATAGGAACTGAAAAGTTTATGAATTATTGAAAACTTGTCCCCGGCACTTCGTTGAAGTCGCGAGATTCGATATCCATAAAGTAATGTCGCAAATTACTAGCAAAAACGTGCCCTCACGCGCGGGGGGTGTAATAGTAGAGGCTCTTACGGGCAAAAAGACGTGTTTTCTGCTACGAGTTTAGAGACCTAACCGCTAATTGGACACAATAGTATGATGTTTAAGGATCGATAATATGTTAAGAAGTATAAATTTGGCCTTATTAGTCACGTGCTATACCAATGCGCGTTTTAAACTTTGACAGTTTGACAGTCTATTACTCTAAGGCAAATAAAGTAATTATATTCATATTTTGTCAGCAATAAGATCACATTATTTTCTATTTGGTGTGAAAATATGAGCTAGAACGGTCATAATCTCGCTGAGTTATAGCTGTTTGAAATTTATGATGAACGCGCGGGTGCCAATTGATAACAACTAAATGCTTTTGCGCGTAGTGCGCGTCGAAAATTTTGCAAAAACGCTTGCGGAGTGACAATATTCAAACTTCGATAAAGTATATGAAGTGGGTACTTCTTGGAAAGGAAATATTTAGGCAAACACGATGTGACTATTTTTGGGTTGATTTAATACAACTGCAAAAAATTATTCAAACTTCAAGCAAAAAAGTCAACATTTTTACCACTTTTTTGGATTTTTACCCCAGAAAAAATAGAGGGATTTGTTTTATTTTTATACCATCTTGTGCGGCTGTCTTTTAACTATCTCCATGCAAGTTTTGCTGACATGCCAACAAAATTAACTTGCTCAAAATATCAAAAAACATGGTTTTTTGGCCTATTTTTGGCCCAAAAATCGGTTTTTTGCAATTTTAACCGAGAAAAATCAGTCCAATCATCTTGAAACCACTTTTAATCGATTCTACGGTCAACAAGAAATGCGGCCGCTTTTCTTTTGTGGATGGCCGCTCAATTTCCCGATCCGTGATGGCGTATTTATCATATTCCATACAACCTGGGGACGGCCCAGTCTTTACTGTTTATATAAACATGCAAATATGGCGAAGTGACATGCCGACTGCCGAGCGCCGCCCAGTTAATATAATTCTATATTGAATTTGAAAATCGTGTATACTTCTATGTAACCATATGTTTATTTTTTATGCAACCTGACACGGATCTGTGCAAAATAGTAATACTAACTCAAAATAATAATAATATGCTATCAATTAGTGCCTAGTGGGATACGTACATGATGAAATTAATAATGTACTTGGTTGGTTCAGCGCCGCGCGCCAACAATTATATAATTCAGATTATCACGCAAAATAACTTTGCGCAGGTAGTCACGTGGGCGATAACAGTGCTCGCAGGCACGTACGCACGCACGCACGGTCGCAAAGCTACCATATACAAAAAAAACCTCGATCGCTAACCCTTGTCCTTGACTCTTTTGTGCCTTCGGCACGAGTCATGGATCGGGAAAAAATACGTCTAGTAAGGTGTATCTGGGGTCCCTAGCGTATCGAGCAGACAATGCCCGTAAGAGCTTCTACTATAAACCAACACGTACTGTTTAGCTGTGTGGTCACCATTTCTTTCACCTAATTATATTATGTTTGCAGTGGTGAGAGGGGGGGGGCGGGCCAGGGGAGTGGTAATGTTGTTCCGGAGACTGTCACGTGACCCCAGAAGGAGTATCCTACTGTATAATGGTAGGTCTCTATGTTGCACTTGGCATGGTGAATTGAGAGAAAGAGGGGATTGGTGATCGTACGTGATATTACTAGTAGTGAAACCAAACAAGAATAACGAATAAAACAAGTAAATATAGTATTTAAGAAATGAGCAGCAGGGTTTTAATACTCCTCAGAACTCGCTGCTGGAGGAATATTAGAGACTCTTTGTGGTCACACGATGTGATGTCCCTGTTAAAGCTTATCTTAACATAGGCGACAAAGGTACACACGAGTCAACTGTCAGGTGGAGACAGGGTTTAAGTTTAACTAATATAATAATCGTAGAATCAATGTATTTGGTTTTGGTTTTGGTTTATAGAGCTGCACGCCACATATACGTTCAGGTTCATTATAATATATAATGTATAATATGTAGGACTTCTATGCAATGAGCTTGGTTGTGGGACACACTCAACTAGGGAAATTGAGAGGCCTCAAATCAAAATTCAAATCTCATTAAAGAGATATCAACGGAGTGTGAGCCACTGCCTGAATCAATGTAACTAGTAATGAATAATTCACCAAATGACTTGCTACTGGAATGTACATTCTAAATATAATATAATTATTATAAAACATAATTTTATAACATTGAATATGGGGAATATGATTATTAAATATACGAGCGACAGTCAAATAGGTACATTCCTTATTAGATTGCAAATAAATTAATCGTGTTAATCAACTAAGCTATCCCTGATTTTATGGGCGCTACCTTTACTATTAGTTAATTACAATGTTTATTTTCTACGGCGAATAAGACTTGGTTGATAAGGAAAATGATCATATTGCGCAAATATTGTTTGTTTATTGTTATTAGTATTTAATATATAATATTAATATTAACATATATTATTAGTATTTAATAACTTAATATGTAATTTTATTATTATTAAACAAGTCTCATAAGTTATCTGTGACGTTACAATTTTATTTTACTGATTATGTTTCTTCATTTACCACACCATAAGTAGAGAATAAAAAATATCAGTTTAATCAGTTCAAAATTAAATAAGGATATTTTAAAAATATTTCAAGGATTAAAAATAGCAGTATCTTTCGTCTGAGATGTTTCCTTATTCAATCATCGTAATTAATTAACAAGTTCAGTACTTTTCTATCGCATTTGAACATAAAATACGGTGTATTAAATTGTAATGTTTAATGTTAGCAGAAATTGACTTAATACGTATATAATACAGTGAATAATTCTGTGGTGAAGGTATATAAGTTAATAATGTGACTTATATATTATCTATTACATTATGATTATATTGTTAGAGACTAGAGTGTTGTAGTGGAACTAAATATAATCTCTATCAAAGATGCTGATGTTGTATGAAAATATAACATCTCTGATGTAAATAAATAAGATCTCTTGTTTTCTGATTGCGGAAAATAATTTACAATGTAATAACATTATAGCTTTATAGTATAATAATATATTGATTCTGCCGTTTTCTCATTTTCTGACAAATGTGCTTAAAGACCATGTTTGAAATCCTGAATCCTTTCACCCAGGTTTATTTTTTGGGTCAAGAACTATCCCTGAAAACCATTGAAACAATCGCCGGCTCCCAGAAACCCCCTTTTTGAACCCCGTAAAATGCAAAATTTGTCAAAAATGTGTCATATAAGTGCTTTAAAACCTCGGACTTTACAGTAGTCTTTAAGCACTTTTGTCAGAAAGCGGCAGATATAAATGTATTGTGTATACATGTATGTATATACACATGTATGTATATACACATGTATGTATATACACATGTATGTATATACACATGTATATATATAGATATAAAGATTGACTGACCATGCAGTTAAGCTGAAGTCCAGAAGTGACGTAATCAAGGAAGGACCATGTCTTGACAGTGGTACACTGCAGTACCTTCAGTACCCCAGAGTTCTTGTAACTTTTCTTCTTAGCCTGGGATAGACCAGTGTTATGTGATTTGTACAGTGTTATTGTGGGGTTTGTTTCAGCTGCGTGCTTGTAGTTTAAGTAGGTGATTTGAGGCAAATTTTATAGCTTATTTTATGGTCTACGAGAATACTGAATCTAATGTCAATACTGAATTGAGAATACTGAATCTAATGTCATGGGATGATAGTCTCAATGCAAATTATAAGCTTTAAAGATGCGGTTTTAAGGGTACCTTTACCGACCAAATGAAACAAAAGGTGTGGATTGTGGCTAACAAATAATCGCTCGGTCGATGGATTGGACAATTGTTCAACGCTAAGCTCCAACGCTCCAACGCTAAGCTCTGGTTCATTCCATGTTTTATTTGTTTTAAAGGAGGTGCACGTGCACACAAGGGACTCCCTTAGTTTGATAAATAAGAACACACAGTATTTAGTTTTTAGTAATATTATTTAATGGTTAAGAAAAGTAAGAGAGATGCTGCTCAATTAAAGACCACAGTAAAATTACTTAGAGAATAATATGTAACTAATTCCCTGGATCGGAGGATATAGTACAGTTGTAAATCAACTGTCTGAATAATAATAATAGAGATATATATATTGAGAGGATTATAAGTGCTAATTAAGGGCATGCTTTAAACAAATCAATTTTATCCATCCAACTTGTTCAATGTTTGAGATACGATGTTTTCAGCATTGTTGAAAAGGATTAGCCAGCGCCTGATCTAAAGAGACCAGCTCTTAATTAGCAAAATTAAAAGGTTTGTCGCCGGATTTTCTGATCCAGGACAGCCAAAGGAAATTTCATCGTGCCGTGTAAGAGTTACCGAGAGTTCATTGGCAGATTAAACAGCGTGTGCCGCAATTCCATCAAGGAAAAGTCGTGAGGTACATTCATCATTCAACGAACATTCATTTTACTTAGCAGGAACATTCATTTAACTCATGCTGGACGCTTACCTAGTCGCTAGTGAAACTGTGATTTTAATGCTACTTACTGCACTCATATCATTTACTGTACCTCCTACAAAATGGAAATATTCACTACTTTTTCAAGAACGACTCATTTCTTATAGTACGTAATTTTTTACAAAACGTAAGGTTAATAATCAGCTTGTTACAGCTGTGAAAATAATAACTAGGACATTGCAAGGCTGTAAGTTGTTGTTTTTGTACTGCAAATCTGGAAAAGATGAGCTTGAAAATTGCTTTTAATTCAGGGATCTGAATGTAGATAGCAGAAACAAGTTGGTTGGCGCGTTTTATCGGATTTATCTACATGAGTACAATCTAAATAAGTGCAATCTACATGCAAGTAAAGGTTAAACTGAAACCCCAACTCTATTAAAAATGCAGAAGAAATAGTAACTGCTAAGTGCTACTGTAACATAACTCATTAGTTAACTTAGTAAACTTAATAAAAGTTAACTTAGTAAACTCAATAAAAGTTTACTACAATAGTAAACTTAACTTCGCAAGTTACCTGTTTTTTAGGATGGATAAGATCGAACTCAACTATCTCCTTCTTAACCTTCTTCATCTTAGCCAGGGTAGTTGTACACACTCCGATAAGGTCTGGAGCTGCTGTGCTGTCGTAGTCCCATACTTTTATCTGGCAATATATAATATTAATAATATTAGTACTTTACTTTATTATTTAGTCCCATACTTTTATCTTTGAAAAATATTAGATTATAATGAAGATCAGTAGCCGTAATTCACTTCTGAAATTTACTTTCAAGCTACGTACTTGAATGTAAAATAAACCAATTTAACTGATGTAATATATGGAAACATTTTTCTCAACCTCACTTTTTACGTAAGAATATGAGCATAGAAGCAAATGCATATTTTAAATACATAAAGATAGGATACAAAAAGAAGATGCGCTATAATTATCACTCAAACACTCGGAATCTATAATATCTCTGAATTACCTTTATAGAAGCGTTCTCATCCCCCATACAAAGCTGGGTTCCCGTTATCTCCACCTGCCTCCATCTTGGGTTCAAGTTGTTGTACACCACCTATTAGTAATATTAATAATATTACTTTATTATTAATTTAATATTAGTTATATTACTAAGAAGGCAATGTTGCATAATTCATAGCACTCTCAAATTATGTGTGCGCTTGGAGACAGTCAAACTGATGCAATGGTGGTCAATTTTGTATGATCTACATATTAATATCTTAGATTGTAATATATTATACATTATTTAAAGATAAGCAGATTGCATCTCACAATTTTCTTTAGTTAGTAAAATGTAACCGGTCAGCTATGTAGTCAGCTATGGGGTAAAATGTAGATCAGCGAATGGTGAATGGTGGTAATATTCGGGCTAATTTGAGCCGGCACAATGGTCACCTACAAGTAAGGCTCATATATATGGACTTTAGCAAGGCTTGAACTAAACTACAAAGGGACAATGCTATCATGATTATAATATTTTAATTTTGAGCACGGAAAGGTTCATTAAGTTAACACATAAATGCTAAGGAGCAGTCCGTTTGGCACCAGTGTACAGTACCCCTGGTACATAAAAAGTAAGTAGAGCCACCGAGAGCATAATAATTCACTGACTTTACATTATCACATTTTTAATTTAATATGATTTTAATAAAATTTCTTCTCTGTAAGAGTTCTCATGATGGTTTTTAAGTCCGATTAGAACTCCTTAAAATTGTGTTACAAATGAAGTGACTTCCACCGGTACCTACCTCACTACGTTTCACAAGAGCTTCAGTTCCCCCCGTTATACGGTATATCTCGTAGTACGGGTCACTTTTACCAAAAGTGTCCTTCCGGTCCAGGTGTCCACCTTCAAACTGTAGTGTCACCAGCTCCTGAGCAAGGTGGTAAGTTAGATAAATAAACACTATGTATATAATACATTGTATAGAATACAATCAACAATGTATAACTATACACAATATGTATAGTCTACATTGTATATTTTGTACATACATTACTAAACAGAGGTTAAGTTAAGTTGCTCAATTGGTTGGCGAGTAAAGCAATATACGGATAATAAAACAAAGGCGTTGGAGAAAGTGAGTAAGCTGAGTAGTGAGTAGCGGCTAAGCTTGACACTTTTTATAGAGGAGCTGTTTCTATATTTTAGAAAGTGGGCGATTCCTAATTCAAAAAGTAGGTTATTTTAATTTAAAACTTACTGTTTTTTATTTGACTAAATAGAACACACAAGTAAAACACAAGTAAAACACAAGTAAAACACAAGTAAAACACAAGTAAAACACAAGTAAAACACAAGTAAAACACAAGTAAAACACAAGTAAAACACAAGTAAAACACAAGTAAAACACAAGTAAAACACAAGTAGAACACAAGTAAAACACAATTAAAACACAAGTAAAACACAAGTAAAACACAAGTAAAACACAAGTAAAACACAAGTAAAACACAAGTAAAACACAAGTAAAACACAAGTAAAACACAAGTAAAACACAAGTAGAACACAAGTAAAACACAAGTAAAACACAAGTAAAACACAAGTAAAACACAAGTAAAACACAAGTAAAACACAAGTAAAACACAGGTAAAACACAGGTAAAACACAAGTAAAACACAAGTAAAACACAAGTAAAACACAAGTAAAACACAAGTAGAACACAAGTAAAACACAAGTAAAACACAAGTAAAGCACAAGTAAAACACAAGTAAAACACAAGTAAAACACACAAGTACGTACCTTAGTGTTGGTAGTATGAGAAGCGCTGACAATACACAACCCCTTAACTCCCCACCTCAAATGTCGCAGATCTAAATCCAGTGTCTTCTTTGAAACAGCCTAATGAAAGTAAAAGTAAGGGTAACAGCAAGGGTAACAGTAAGGGTAACAGCAAGGGTAACAGTAAGGGTAACAGTAAGGGTAACAGTAAGGGTAACAGTAAAGTATGAGGAGAAAGTAACAGTATGATTGAGGAGGAGGGATTACCAGTTAATGATCTGATCAGTGTCAATTTTAATTTGTATTCTATTAAGAATAGTATTGTTCGGTTGAACACCGTTAGGTACGTATTATATCACATTTGCACAAAAATTTAAGCACAAAGATCATATTATATTATAGAAGTAAAACTAATAAACATTACAAAATTAAATATATTAATACCTGTCCCAGCGTGAACTCTGCCTCCCCAAGGTTATCAGCAGCATTGCTGAGACCTTCATTGTCATCATCAATTACCACAACCTTGCAGAAAGTCTGCCGCTCAAATATGTACGGTATTTCTATTCCAGTCCCGAAAACTGGGTTCAAGTTGTTCTTTACTTTCTCCGTTCTGCCAACCTGTTCAAAGTTAATTATTTTAATTAATTATTAATTGATTATCTAAAAATTAATAATTCAGGGTATTTACATTTTACTGTAGTAGCATGGCAGGTTACAGTGATATGCATTTCAGATTTCCTGCACAATGAATTCGAAGAACAGGGGAGGTAAGGGGAGGTAAGGGGTTTTGGGTCGCAATTTATCTATAGATCCTCAAATCTTTAAAACTCCTCAAAATTATAGTTTTATCTCCTTTGCGACAAACTGATAGTCCTGTTGACGAATGAGGGTCAGTACTCATTAGTATATAGTATATACCCTAACCCAACCCGTCTATACTTATAGGTACTAGGTACCAATAACTATTCACGCTAAAAAAGGGACATATTATTTAGATGCTTTTAGAAACGTGTTTTAGGATGAATACTGCTGTGGCTACTAGCCCATCATAATATTATGTTGCATGTTGCATGTTGCATGTACTAACTATCAGCCCATCATGTTACATAAGCATATATTATTACCAATACATCGTTTTGTATCGTATTGTACTAGATTAAATTATATAGAAATGAACTTCCTTCGTAAAATCCACCCCCCCCCCCCCCCCCCCCATTTCTCTAAATTAAAATGAAAAGTAATGAAACGTACGGTAAAGAATGGGTGTAACTCTGCGTAAATAGATGCAGAAGTTAGTAGTATAGACAGAATGCGCTGGTGTTGAATGCTTTTGTGGAAATGAAATACAAGCCAAGTATCAAAATGAGACTAATGTCACGTTGATGTCTACTGTCTAGTATAGTGGCACCTGTACCGCTGCAATAAACTGTGAATTTATTTATAATGATCAATTTAAGAGAGACAAGATTATTTTGAAAGTACCTGAAGTTTACAAATAAGTGGATGATAAGGTAATCTCGAAGCATAAACGCAGTTGATTTATGTCCCAAAATCCAAATGTTATCTAAAGTATACCTGTATATTCTGCTACGAAAATGCCTTTAAATTTGACCAAAAACAGTCAGGGATGTAGTAATATATAACTGATATTATTTTACTCGATAGACGATAACTGATATTATTTTACTCGATTTCGGATAAAAAGCAGATTACTTATTTCTTAATTTGATCAACGAATTAATTATGTATTGTAAAAGTTAAATAACTAATTTACCAGGGTGTAGTTAGCCCTGTCTTTCACACTAGTATACAGCAAGATTTGAGGATCACTCTTGCTCAACACATCTCTGTCTCTCAGCTTCTTACAGGAGAAATTGAGGATTACCATCCCGGCATTCGCCCCTTTAGCTGAAATGAGTTTACCAATTAGTGATCAATTATCAATAATTATCATTTAGCATAAAATTGATATCAATCCACAAGAGGAAGTTTGAGTTTTGAGTACTTTGAGATTGTGATATCTCTCTTGTTTCGTAACAGCAGATTGTGTCGTTTTCACTACGTTGATCGCGAAATGAAGACCAAGCGTTTATACAAATATTTGTTTCAAAAAGAAGTTTCATAAAAGTTAAGTATCGAAATTGCGATATTTTTTCCGAGCTCCCGCTTGAATAACTCGATAATTTTATGGGCGAAAAATAGCTGCTGGCCCAATCTACACCAGCACGAGCACGAGCGTCTGCTTCCAAAGAAAAATATAGCGCTAAGAAAGATAGCTCTTGGCACAGCTCTGGATAACTATAATCACGTGACTAACTACACGTGGCTGTATAACACGTGTCATGTGACTGACTGCGACCTACCAATCTCATCTGACTCTTCAAGAGATACCTTATATTCCGCCAACTGTATGTCATCCATTTGTTGTTCCAGCATTAGGGACATAAAAACTGACAATTAGGTGCTATGATATGGGACACACTCAACTACCGCCCCTTTCCCTAAGAAAACTACCGCCCCTTTCCCTAAGAATAGGAAATATTCACATGCATATTGTATATTCAACACGTTGGAAAAGGAACATACCAACATATATTATTACAGTAAAAACCCAATTTACCGCGTCCATTACCTTTATCTAATTGGAGCCATACATTTTGATCAAAACCCGGATTTAATGCACTCGTTTCCTTCCCCCAAACTCCGCGGTTAATCGGTTAAAATGCCACTTAGTATATAAAATTATAATGTAAACTTTATTAAATGAACATCCATGAAAATTTTACAGATATCAAATACAAGGAAGCCACAAAGACGGCGAGTAAGAGAGCAGAACAGAAGCGCCCTCCACAGTCCACAGTCCACGATTAGTGAGTAGTCGTGAGCCCTGGAGGAGCTACCCGGAGCTACGGAGATAATTGTATTGAAAATATCTGAATACGCTCAAGAAGGAGAGCTGCCACCAAGTGCTTATCGTACCATTAAAATACACAGCTGCTTGAAGTTAAGGCCAGAGGGGGGGGGGTAAATGGCACTTTTGTAGTTTTTGCATATTTGATAATAGCTACTGGATACGAACAAAAAGAAAAAAACCGGATCAAAATCTGACCTTGCGCTTCTGAGATATCGCGCGCTCAATTTTGAGGTTTACCTGTAATTACATGTTAAACTGGAACTTTAAACGGCTGTAACTTTTTTGACCTTTCGATTCCTTAGTTGAGAAAACCGGCCAATCCCTGATCTTGAGATTTGGTACAGTGGTTCCTTGGACAATTATCCTCACATCTGGTGCAGCGATTTTTTTTATTTGACTCTGTTCTCAAATTATGAGGTTAACCATGTCAAAAATTCGGAAAATTTAATTGGTTAACCTCATAATTCGAGAAACGAGTCAAATAAAAAAAATCGCTGCACCAGATATCTAGATAGTTTTCCAAGGAACCACTGTACCAAATCTCAATATCAGAGAGTGGCCGGTTTTCTCAACTAAGGAATCGAAAGGTCAAAAAATGTGTTTTGAGATAGATGCAATTTAGTGTTTTCAAAATTTTGAATATTCACTGGAATGTATCACAGTTCGTTAGTTAGGACTTTTTATACACTTAATAACGTTTGCTTGATCAGACCTGGCCGTCTCCTAAATGATTTTAGCCACTTTCAGTAGTTAATGTCCTTGTATTGTAAAAAATGAGGTTAACCAAGACTTCCTGTAAACACTAACTGCTTAGAATTTGGTTGTTAACCTCGCTTTAGACCATATAACACTGGGATTGGTTTATCAATATGTTACTATATATGTAGTAAAACATTTGTACAGTATAACGATTACGTTTTTGAGGTTAACATGTAATTGACTGGTCAGATATTCAAAAAATGAGAGGTTAACCTCATTTTTTAGCCATTTACGGGTAAAATCTTCTACTAAAATATGGTCAGTTCAAATCACCTTTGTCACGTGATTATAGTTGTAGGCATTGTGATACCAATAGATACCTCACTTCGATATTGTGGTACATTACATAAGTAAGAATCGTATGTATATTCCCTACGGTACCAAAATGTGATGGTTAACCTCATTTTTTTCATTTTCTCAAGATAAAAGAAAGTCAATCAACACGTCATCTATTTAGAAATTTGTATACCGTAAACTTACGATGAAAATAATAACTCTATCATTTGATCTATTCTTGATATATCTAAAAGAAGAGGTTAACCTCATTTAATCACGTTTGGATATTACTTTTTCTGATAATTATGAACCTAAAATTTAGAGTTTACATTTGCTGACCGAAATAACAAAAAATTATGGCGTGTAATAAAATATGAACCTCAATTTTATTAACCTCAATGTTGTATAGTCAATTTTGTGAAAATCGGTTAACCTCAATTATAAAATAAAGTTAATCAGCTACAAATATGTGAATAGCAGCAATGTTTTTGTCATCAAAAATTAAATCGATTTAGAAAATAATATTTTGGTAGAATTTTTTGACCCCTTACCCCCCCTCTGGCCTTAAGTATGATGTAATAAAGTAGCGAGTTTTGTGTATGCCAGGTTAAGTTCGTAAAAATAATAGAATTTAAACGTAAGCAATGTTGTAAGTCAATTTAAACTGACACGAATTTGAAAATTATAAAGACAGGATTGTCCCTATAGGATTAAGATATACATAATAATATAAACATACAATTGGTGTAATGATGACATAGCGATAGGGGAATATCACAAAGCACAAGGTCCCTAGTATAGGAACCATAGTCAGGTAAATGTACTTCTTCTCCTCATATCACCTCAACATGATTCAGGAATTACAGTGATCCCTATACTATCAGCATTTCTGTTAGACTGTTAGCTCGCTTCATAAGCATGTCATCTTCGTTCCAAAACTTTTTATGTCCTATGCATACAATCCTTGATAGTTATCTTGATCTAGTATCTTTGTTTCACACAATAGAGCATAAGTTTTGTGGTTTATCCACTGGGCTTAGAGTTTGTGTTTAAGCTACCAAATTTTATTATTATTATTATTTTCTAAGCCATAAAACAGGAATAATCCTAATATGATAATGATGATAATAATGTACAGTAAAATGCTAATAGTATACGTTGCTTTTCATCGCTCTGTTATCACCATTATCACCATTGTTGTGTTTAGCAATTAGAGTAAGCACTATAATCTGCACTTTATTATTACAACGTACATGACTATTGGCTATGTCCCAAGATGTTCAAGCTTTAGAAGTGTCAAATTAGCTCCTTGATGAAGTTGTAAGGTAATTGGGAGTTTGGATTGTTAGCCTGAATTTAAAGATCTTGTTACTGCTGTAAGCTGTGTGCACAATCAATTTTAAATTGCAGCAGTAGCTGTATTTTAGTCATTGACAAAGCACAGCTTGGCTAGTTGAATATTCAGTTAAAACATCAGTTGAGGATATAATGCATTTATGCATTACATTTATGCGAAATGTAATGCATTATTATAATAATGCATTTCATTTCGTCTAGTATTGTCAGTTCAAAGACACAGATCTACTCGAGTTCTGGCTTGATTGTGTGGGAGCTACGTTAATATATATATTAACGTATATATATATATATATATACACATGTATACATGTATATTATATACATTTCCTTTTTTGCATATATAATAAGATTAGTCCTAACTAGCACAATTTAACTTTATAGCAGATTATTAGTGTCATCACGTACTTCAAATAAATGTGCAATAAAATAAAAAATAAAATGCAAATGGGTCACATTATTATTTAGTGTACAGTGCCCTATCTAAGTGTGATTATAACTTAACTAATATAATTGCTGTGGCCTGTGTAAGGTTTTAAACCAGGTCTTATATTTTTGTTTAGAGAAATGTTTATTATATTTCTAACTAAAGAGGTCGGTTTTCCAATGACTGATCTGAAAACAGTACTAAAACGATAGAAAACTAACATGTGTAGTTGGTGTGTTAATAACAGCATAGCCGGCATTATTAATCATCAATTAGCATTTAATACACTTTAATGAGTCCAGAAAGAAGTTGGTTGGTCATAGCAGGGTTGAAGCAAGCTGTCTGGAGCTGGTAGCACGAGCTTGATAAGCAGACTAGCCTACCGATTTCATCATCTCCAATATATTTGCTGAAACCTTTCCCAGCTCCTGTTGTTCCTAGCTTTGTTTTGGGTTTTGTAGATGGGGGAGTCTGGAAATCAGAAAGGACGTCCATTTCACATACTCATGAGCTGGCTAAGTTCGTAATTCGTTAGTTGGCTACCGAACCAAAGCCATTACATGTAATTATGATATGTTATTCATGTACAAAACCTCTGACGAGAAGAAACTAGTAATTCAAGACAATTACAAGTATTTATTCGCTTTATAAACAATTGTCCCATGATTCAGTCAGACTATTGATACTTTTTTTTATAAATGAGGTTAACCAATTCTCATTTAACCACATTTTTTTGATAAATCGATAATGGAGGGCAGAAATATTGATGCCATTAACTGAAAACTACGATAAGCTTTGTTTTTATTGTTTTTGTGTTATTTCAGCAGTTAAACTTTGAAAAATATACAAATTAAGGCAAAATTCTCAAAAATCACATAACATAAAAAACAGTTTTTTGCCTCTCCTGAAAACCTCGAATTTTTGACTTCAAAATCTATCTTCTCCTAGAGTTTTTATCCATTTCACCTCAAATTTGGAACTTATGTTCCTGACATAAATTTAAAAGTTTGTTATGTAACGATTGTTGTAATTTTGCTCCTAACTCTTTTTATGAGGTTAACCATTTTAAATTTTGTAACCCGCACTCATGGTTAACCTCATATCTCAGCTTTGGAGCAAGATATCATAAATCGTTACATAACAAAAACTCAAAATACCTTGAAGAACATTGTTGCC